CTTTTTTGTTTCTGAGTTTCCCTCAGGAAGTTTGTTTCCAAGTCCCTCCGCCGAGCCGTGGCCACGGCCTGGTTGGTGTTAGCGTGGCCGGTCTGAGCCCTCCACGCCGCCGCCCCAGTGCCACACTCTCGGCCCCTGTGTGTGGACGGCTGATCTTTCCAACGCGCGTTGTCCGCACACACGGTGACGACACTGTGGCTGCAGAAGGGGGATTTTTTTTCCACGTTCGAGTCGTGTTTCCCTCGGAATCCAGGCGCGAGTGCGTCAGGAAGGTGTGAGGAGGGGGAACGGTGCCCGGCGCGGGCCACGCGGGTTTGCCTCGGGTCTGTACTGACCGTCAGGGTTGCTGGACCCAGCCGGACGGTGATTTGAGAGCCACGACGCCTGAGCACTGTTTAGGGCTTGGACTCTGACGCCGCGGCTGAAACTTCACAAACCAGAACAGCAGGAGTCACGCCTAACACCGAACGTCATCGGAGTAAGTGATAGTAAAACAGTAAGTCTCGTAGTCCTTAGAACGAATTGTTTGGGTGTCATCCTTGAGAGGGGCAGTTTCGTGGACGTCAGCCCAGGACGCCGGTGCTCGCTGGGACGTGGCGCTGTCCATCTCGGGTGCTTGGTTGCCGTGCCCGGCCGTCGGTAGCCGAAGGCGACTGGGGTTTGTCTGCTCACACTGCGTCCTGTTTCTGGGAGGAGCACTTTAAACACATATCTGTGAGGCTGTGTTTTCTGTCACACTCAATTTTGTGAGTGGTTTCTTGGTGTGTAAACGCTGATCGGTTTTGTTTCCATGTCTCTCCGTGGAGTGGCGGCCGGGCCTCGTGCAGGCGCCCACCTGGCGCTGTACCTCTCCGGAGCCGTGGCTTTGCTCTAGAAGTGCCGTGATGCCTCTGTGGACACCGGGGAGTGTCCCAGCTGAGGGGTGTCCCCACGTGAGGCCAGCGGCTGTGTTTCGTGGGAGGTGGAGTGGCCGGGTGGCTTTGGGCCCCACCTCCCGAGACATCCTCAGTCCCCAAGCTCTTACGTCCCTCCTGGGAGTCGGTGACGTGGGCGCAGCTTTGCTGTCCGGCGGGCTCTGTCCTGGCATTTTGCCCGTGCAGGAGCAGGACAAAATGCTGACCTCACTTTGCGCTTGCAGGCTTATTTTTCACCATCAGTGTGTGCAGTTTCTGGCAGTTCGTGTGGGTGATTTGGCCAAAATGGCTTTCAAAACCCGCCTGCAACACAGCGGTCAGGATGTGGACGGGCAGAACAGGGGCCTGAGACGGCCTGGAGGAGAGGGGCTGCCCCCGGGTGAGCAGGTCGGGGTGGCCCTCTGGGCTCCCTGCTCTGCCAGCCAGAAACACGGGCCCCTTGCTCCCCAAGGGGACAGGGGAGATGCCGTGTTCCACGGCACGTGCCCTGCCTGGCTCCGCTCTTTGTCCAAGCTTGTGCCGAAATCCTGCCTTCTTCAGACACAGCTCACTCCACGCCTTGCTGAGGGGAAGCCGTCAGCACCAGCTGTCACGCACGTGCCTTTTCCCGACAGCGGGACGTGGGCTGGTGCTACGTCACCCCGGGTTCATAAACAGTCGGTGCACCCAGGTCTCCTCTCCGGGCAGTAAGACAGTAGCCTCGGCTCTGCTCATTGCCCGCCAGCAATGGCTGGCTTCCTGGTGGCGCACCTGGGCCTCCCTGAGGCCACCCTCGCTCAGCCCACCACCCTCAGTGCCCGGCCCTCCCCGTGGGTCCCAGGAGACCGGCGCTGGCTTTACCTGCCCGTTGCTGCCCCCTCAGCGCCAGCCCTGCGGCCAGCTGGCCTCCCTGGGACTCCCAGCAGCACCTGGGACTGCTCAGTGTGGACCCTGCCCCGGGTGCGTCTGGAGGGTAGACTGTGCCCCGCGTGTGCCACGCCCCCCCCAGACCTGAAGGACGTGGCCCAGGAAGGAGAATGCAGGGCAGCTTAGGTTTCTTGCATGTAGATTCCTGTCGAAACGGTCGTATTTTAGACGGATCAGGTTAAATGAAATGCAGGATTACCATTGATGTCAGCGGCTTCTTTTTGCATTTTGACGTGGCCTGCCAGCAAACACAGACCCGGGCATGTGGCTCCGCCCGTGCCTGGGCCCCCAGGTCCTCCCTTGGTTGCCGGGGGGCTTGGACCACGTCAGGGCTCCTCCTGGGCCCCCCGAGACGACCGTCCCGCACTCCGCCCCAGCCTGAGCATCCGTTGTTCCCGGGGTGGTTGTTGGGGTCCGACACCGGCCGGGCCTCCTCGGGACTGGATTTTCCACACAAGCACGTTCTCTGAATTGTCTTTCCCCCTTTCATAGTTTTTTATTTCCAATTTTTTTCTATTGTGGTAAAATACTCATAACATAAAATCGACCAATCGGCGCAGAGTCGGTTGCGTGGGATTAAACACAGCGCGCAGCCGCCACCCCGACCACCTTCCCAAACGGGGACTCATCTCCCGCAAACCCTGACTCCCCGCCCGGCCCCTGCATCCCGCTGTCTCTGGGACCTCGTGTGAGGGAATCCGCAGGTTTGTCCTCCGCGACTGTCCTTCCATGAAGGCCGGATGGCGTCCCCGTGGGCGTGTCCCGCATCTCGCCAGTGGCGGACGTTTAGGCGGTTTCCACCTGCGGCTGTTGCGACGAGTACTGCCGTGAGCACGGGCGTGCCGACATCTGTGCCAGTCCCTGCTTCGGTTCTCGAGGGCGTGCACCCAGAGGTGGAGTTGCTGGATCCCATGGCAACTCTGTCTGTAATAGTTTTGAGGAGCCGTTTTGCACAGAAGCTGCACCGGGTCACATTTCCGCCCACAGTGTGCAAACCGCAGTGTCACAGGTCCCCACCCACGCTGGTCTCCTGGCTTTGTTGATAGTGGCTCTCGTACCGGGTGTGACGCGGTATCTCCTCGTGGTTTTGGTCTGCATTTTCCTGATAGGATAAGTGGTGGTGAGCATCTTTTCATGTGCGTGTTGGCCATTTGTATGTCTTCTTTGGAGAAAAACATGTTTGAGCCTTTGCACATTTTTGAATTGGGTTTTCTCATTGTTGAGTTGTAGGAGCTCTCTCTGTGTGTTTTGGACATCGTTTCTTAGCAGATGTGTGATTTGCAACTGTTTTCTCTCATCCCGTCGGTCGCCTTTTCACATTGTTGGTTTTGTCCTTTGAAACACAGAAGTTGTAAATTTTGATGAAGTTCAATTTGTTGTTTTTTGTTGCCTGTGCTTTTGGTGTTATAGCCAAGAAGTCATAGACAAATCCAACGTCATGAGGGTCTTCTACATGTTTTCTTCTAAGAGTTTTATAGTTTTAGGTCTTATATTTATTTCTTTGATCCATTTTAGGTTAAATTTTGTATGTGGTATAAGGTAAGTATGTCCAGGTTTGTTCTTTTTCTCAAAAACTGTTTAATGAGGATTTTCTATTTTTCATTTACTAATGACTCCCTCAGAGAACCTAAAATAGAAAGGTCTCCTACGGATTAACCTCAGACCTGGTTTTCCCACATCCCTTGGGCCCCACCAGGTGTCCTGTGTCCACAGCCCACCTGTGCACAGCTGTACCTGCACTGGCCCGTCCTTGGGCCCCACCTGGTGTCCTGTGTCCACAGCCCACCTGTGCACAGCTGTACCTGCACTGGCCCGTCCTTGGGCCCCACCAGGTGTCCTGTGTCCACAGCCCACCTGTGCACAGCCCTCCCTGCACTGGCCCGTCCTTGGGCCCCACCAGGTGTCCTGTGTCCACAGCCCACCTGTGCACAGCCGTTCCTTCTCAGGCCCGTCCCCCTCGCCGCAGCTCCCCTGTGCTCCGGGAGGTGACTGCCCCCCCTGGTGTGACCTCAGGCCCTGCGTCTTGCTAAGTGCTCTTGCACAGGATGAGGGAGGGCAGGTGGGTGCGGCCAGGATGCCCCCTGCCCAGCCTCGCCCGCCCTGCCTGCTCCCGGGGGCCTGCGCTGACCCCGCTGAGGAAGGGGCTTTCAGCCTGCGCACCTCGCGGGCCTCCGGCGGTTTCTCCCCATTTACCTGACGTTTCCCCGCAGCCCAGCCGCTCGTCCCCAGGGCATTGCGTGTCATCTGCCTCGTTTAATTTGCCCACTTGTGTAAGTGTCACGAACACAGCTTCTGCGGGGCGTGTCGTGGAACACGGGTGCTGTCCCAGCAGCCAGGTGGGTGGTGACGGTGTCTGTCGGGTCTCGTTGTGGGCAGGCACGTTACAAGAGTCGAGATTGGCTCGTTCACCGTCATGACAGCCCTGACGGCAGGGACTGCGACTCCCGTGTCACCCTACAGGGAAGGAGACGCCTGGTCGGCTCGGCGCTGCAGGGGCTGGGGGGGCGCGGCTGTGATTCTGACCCGGGAATCGGATTCCCAAGGCTGGCACAGTCCTCACGCCATACCGCCTCTCAGAGGTGTAAGATGAACTTCAAGGATTTTGGCATCAATTTTCCTTTTTTATTAAGAGACAGGGTCTTGCTCTGTCGCCCAGGCTGGAGTGCAGTGGCACAGTCACAGCTCACTGCAGCCTCGGACTCCTGGGCTCAAGTGATCCTCCCGCCTCAGCCTCCCGAGAAGCGGGGACTGCAGGCACTTGCCCCCACGCCACTGCACCTGGCTTGACTTCAGCGTGTTTTATGTTGACTTAAGATCCGTACAGGTCTCCCGCAGAAGTGCCTGGGCCAGAAAACACGCAGCTTATGTCTCCTCACTCTGACCTTGGCCTCTGCTTCTCAGTTGGTCCGTGTATCCTCACCTGCACCCCTCACCTGTACCCCTCACCTGCACACCTCACCTGTACCCCTCCCTGTACCCCTCGTACCCCTCACCTGCACACCTACACCCCTGCACCCTTGACCTGCACCCCTCAGCTGCACCCCTGACCTGCACCCCTGCACCCCTGACCTGCACCCCCAGCTGAGGCTGCTCTCTCCCTCTGCCCTAGACTTCGACCCTCACCACTTCTGGCACTGGAGCAGCTTCTCGGACTACGTGCAGTGTGTCCTGGCCTTCACAGGTGTGGCGGGCTACGTCACGTACCTGTCCATCGATTCGGCCCTGTTCGTGGAGACCCTGGGCTTCCTGGCTGTGTTGACCGAGGCCATGCTGGGCGTGCCGCAGCTCTACCGAAACCACCGCCACCGGTCCACGGAGGGCATGAGGTAGGATGTTCCCACAGCACTGGAAAGCCGCCAGGCACAGAGCCAGGGGGGTTTACGCACGTTGGCCCCCGGCCCTCCTGTCGGGGCAGACGTGTTTGTGTGCGAGGGCCGAGGGGCAGCGCGCAGCCAGCACAGGGTTGGCCAGCTGGCCCTGCAGGGCCGCTGAGACAGGCTGCTGGGGGTGGCCCAAGATTGGGAGGGGTGCGGGGCAGCCAGCCCAGCTGGGGGCGGGGAGCTGCCTGAGACTGCCCTGGCCGCTGACTGTGCCCCAAGGCCCCGGCTGTGGCCTCCACCCTGACCGCTGGCAGAGGCGGGTGGGGCTGGGGTTTGGAGCCGTGGACCAAGCACGCACGCCCTCTGCCAGCCCAGCCTAGATGCCCAGGGTGACTGCTGGCGTTGGGGACGAGCGAAGACCCTTCCTGTGGGCTCACTCGAGAGCCTCGGTGTGACAGAACCGCCGTAGCAAGAGACCGGCATGTTTCACAGGGAGAGACGCCACACGCCCCTCTACCGGGTACCGTCGGGGGATTTCGGTGTAGGCAGAGTTGTGCGACCACCGCCATGGTCTAGTTTCGGAATGTTTCATCCCCTAGAGAGGAGCCCTGGGTGTGTCAGCAGCCACTGCCACTCGCCACCCCGGCACCTGCCGTCACCACCGCTTGGCAGTCGCCTCTTCTGGGTGTGTCGTAGCCTCTCGTGACTGGCTTCCGTCGCTGAGCGTGATGTTCTTCAGGGTCATGCGTGTTGTAGCCTGTGTCAGGGCTTTGCTCCTTTTTGCAGTTGAGGAACATTCCGGGGCATGGATGTAGCAAGTGTTGCTCATCCATCCTTCCGCGGTGGACACTGGGCTGGGCGGCAGCTCGGAGGCAGTTGTCACGTGCTCGTGCTGCGGTCTGCGTCCACGTTTTCACGTGGATGTGTTTCCCTTTCTCTCAAGTATGTGCCTAGGAGCGGAATTCCAGGGTCAGATGGTAGCTGAGCCTTCCCAGAGCTGCCGGAATGTTCCCATCGGGAGGGCAGGGCAGGTGAGGGGTTTGAAGGCCGGGGCAGCCGAGGTTGGGTGCAGCGAGGGGTTGGCTGGGAGAACGAGGCCCCCCTCGTGGTTGGAACCCTGGACTGCCTGGTTTCCTCTGTCCGAGGAGGGAGGGACATCCTCGTTCCTGGGACTCTCCCGACAGGACCCGGCCAGACTCAGGCTAGTGAGGAAACCACTGGCTCATTGACCTACGACAGCCGACCTCGTGGGGCTCAGTGTTCGTTCGTTCATTCGTTTGTTCATTGGGATGGTTGCTGTTGTCTGACCCCAGCGAGGAGGAACAGGGATTCTGTCTCGGGGAAACAGTGCACCAGAGACCCGGCAGCACGGAGTTGACGCCATGGGCTCCTCCAGACGCCTGGTCTGCTCTGAGTGCCTCATCTGGGCACCTTTGCAGGGTCCTGAGGGCACAAACGAGGGGAGGCTGGTTCTGGGCCATGCCTGTGACATCGAGGTGCCTCCAAGACGCCAGGTTTTCTTCCTGCACGAGGGGACACTGCGTCCTGGTGAGCAGACCCCTGCGAGCCTGGGGCTGGGCCATACAACTGAATTTTACATTTTACCTCTTGGGGGTCCTGCTTCCCTACTCCCCTCTAAATTATGTGGCTGGTTGTGGGGCCGCAGTACGGGATTCCTGTCCCCTATAATGGCTGGGGCTGTCTACAACTGTTACGTCAAAGGGCAAAGACGAGGTGAGGCGTCAGCAGGTGGCAGTGTCCCTGCCCGGAGCCAGCCAGGACCCTGTGTGTGCACTTGCAGTGGTGGAACACACACCTGTGTGTCGGGGGCCTAGGGACATAGACAGGGCTGGGACAGGCAGCCCTGGGATCAGAGCTTCAGCTGTGCGTCCTCCTGGCTGCGTCTGACCAGGGCCATGTCCTGCATCTGCCTTCCATTTTTGTCGGTGCGAGCACTGCCGTGGTGGGCTTCTATCTGGGTGATCGTCCCACGTGCTTCCAACCCGTCCGGCTCCCTGTGGTGCTCTGTTGGCAGCTTTGCAGGGAAGGGGCCAAAGGGGACGTGAAGGCTGACCAGCCCCCCCAGATGGCTCTGGGCCCCACCTTTCGTCGGAGCCTCCCCTCCGGCAGCAGCACAGTGGCCCAGGCGCTCCTCCTGCAGCTCATCCACCTCTGAGGCCCGGACACCTCCCAGCTTCAAGGAGCACCTGGTGTTCTGAGCTGCAAACCGTTTGGCTTTACCTGAATTACAATGGGAGCGAAAAGCAGCCTTTCTGGGTTTGGGACGCTTGGATATAATCTGAACACCATCAGCAGTCAAGTGAATCTTACATCTATAAAACACTCCACCCAGAATATACATTCTTTTTGAATGGTCATTGAGCATTCACCAAAACAGACCATTTACTGGGTCATAAAGATTTATTTAAAGGAACTGAAACCATCCAAACTATGTTGTATGGCTATAATGTAATTAAGTTAGAAGTTAATCTCCAAAGATTTAGAAGCTAAGCAACATACTTCTAAATAATCTGTTAATCAAAGAGGATATCTCAAAGCAAATTAGGAAATATTTTGAGCTGAAAAATAAAACATATCAAAATTTGTGGGATGCAGTTAAAGCAATACTTAGAAGTAAATTCATAGTCCTCAGGACCCAGGAAATGACGTTATGATCCAGCAACACTGACCCAAGTGGAAGAATCTCACCCCCTCTTTGTTTTTCCTGTGAGAAAAGCCAAATTTATGTTCTCAGAGGCTGACAGGACTCGCCTGTAGCTGAGGAGAAGGGGCTTGAGGAGGTGAAGGTGTATTTCCGGCTCTGTCCAGCGGTTCCTTTTGCCAGGTCACATTCTCTGCTGTGGCCTCTCTCTCTTGACCCTGCACATGGGGGCTCCCCGAACCCTGGTTTTTCAGTGAGCTGGGGCTGAGGCTCAGCGGTGCACATGTCTCCAGTGGGCAAGCAGCCGTGTCCTTGTGTCCTCGCGTGTGGGATGTCTCCTTGGCATCCCTCCTCCTTGGCGGCCTGGCAGCCCCTCGGGCTGTGTGGTCTGGCTTCATTGGCTGTGAAACATTCAGACTGCCCACGGAAACGGGTTTAATTTAGACAAATTCTGCAGGAAGGCAGCGGTGCTCATGTTTGCTGCCAGGCAAGCCAGGGCGCCAGACGCGGTGGCGGAGAGGGATGCGGGTGGCCCAGGACAGCGGGTGGCAGTTGTTCCTCCTTCACTCACCGAGGTCCCTGTGCCGCCGGGACTGACAGACATCTGAAGGGAAAGTTTGCGCCGATGACCAGTAATGGAGACTCCGTGGGTCTCGGGTGTGGAGAAGGCCTGGGGAAGCAGCTTTGCTCTGCTCGTGCCTGGCCTTGGACTTCGGCCCAGCAGGCGGCATGGTGCAGCAGCTCTGGGGGAAAGGCCACTCTCCTCCCGGCAGCACAGGGCTGCCCGACCGGAGGTCCCGGCTCTGCGGACGCAGCCCTGCTGTTCCCTGCGGCCAGGGCCGACCCTGCCCAGTTCTTGTGTCTCACAGCTGCACGCTGGGGGTTGGAGCCCCCCGGACCCCTGGCACTGGGAGCACTGTCTCCTCCAATCTGAGGCCACAGAGGGGTCTTGGGTGGGTGGGAGGAGTGGGATAAGTCTGCGGTGCCCCCCAATCCCCTGGGGTATCCCCTGACTTCCTGAGGTATTCTCCGACCGTCAGAGGCCCCCTCACCTCCTGGGTCACACAGCTGACCACCTGGCTTGTGTCTCCTCAGCATAAAGATGGTGCTCATGTGGACCAGCGGCGACGCCTTCAAGACAGCCTACTTCCTGCTGAACGGCGCGCCCCTGCAGTTCTCCGTGTGCGGCCTGCTGCAGGTGCTGGTGGACCTGGCCATCCTGGCACAAGCCTACGCCTTCGCCCGCCACCCCCAGAAGCCAGCGCCCCATGCCACACACCCCGCCAGTGCCAAGGCCCTCTGAGGCAGCCAGGGAGGACAAAGGCCTGTGGCCGCCAGCCACAGACACTGCCCACCTGTCCTCCCAGTGTGGGGGACAGGCACCGTGTCCCCTGCAGGCGGGTGTCAGGTTCTCGACGAGCCTCTGCGTGGGCCCGGCGCAGGCTGCGGGAGGCAGGGCTGGGTGACGTGTGTGCTCACCTCCGCGGGGACGGCCAGTACGGGTTTCAGGTGTTTTTAAGGTGATGGCAAAAGTGAGCATCTTTTCCCACTTCTGCTCAAAAACACCTGCTCTGAAGCCGAGTTGCGTTCACAAACACACAGGAAGACACAGCAGCCCTGCTCCCGTCTCAGCCGAGCTCCCGGATCCGCCTCAGCCCACAGGACAGCCTCCCCGGTGGGGCCGGGGCCTGCAGCCCGGGGTGAGCAGACCCACGCGCCAGTGTGAAGGAAATGCGAAGGCGACAGGTGTCTGGAGACCCCGCAAGTCCATGACCAGAGCCTTGGGACCGTCACGGATGCCCTGGTTAGAGGGGGCGTCCTCCTCTGCCCAGCACGGGCGGCACGAGGGCAGGGCCAGGGTCCTCTCCGCCCCGGTGCACGTGGAACGGGTCACGAGGATGCAGGTGCCTGAGCTCCTGAGCAGCCACCTGGGATGCGGCCCCAGCCCAGCAGGGCCAGAAACCTTGCTGCTATGCTGCCCCTTCCCAGGAGGCGCTGGCGCGTGCACCCCAGGTGGCGGCGGGTCTGCGTCTGAGCCTGGCTGGGCATTGGCTGGCGAGGTCAGGTGTGAGTCAGGGCCTCCGGTTTTCCTCGGGTTCTTGGGGGTGTCCCTTAGACAGACGTGGAGGCCCTTGCAGGGGTGTGGGCGGCCGAGGGGGCCGGGGCTGAGGCTGTGGACACCCCGGAGGGCTCCACTGGGGAGATTCCCTTTTTTCTGGGCATCGCACACACTGGCCGGACACAGCTGCCATGTCCGTCTTCTGGGACAGAGACGGCCTTGGGTCAGGAGGGGGATGCCAGGCTGGTGCCCCGAAAGGCAGGGTCCTGCTGCCGCCATCCTGGGTGGCGACCTCCTGAGTGGGGGCAGCCAGGCCTGGGGCCCCTGCCACGTCCTCTGTCCACAGCCCCCGGGCCCCAGAGCTCTAGATGCTTCCGTGTGGCTCCCGCGGCACGATCTTCCCTTCTGCTGGCAGAGGGGCTGCTTCCCGTGCAGGCGCCAGCTGTGCGCACCAAAGCCTCGCGTGGCGAGTGTCACTTCTGTGGCTGGTGGGAGAAGATCCAACGCTGCTTCCTCCTCCCGAGTGCTCCTCAGAAATCTCTTGAATGTTTGAGTGAGGATCTTCCTCAGCTCTCTGGTCTGTAAAATGCTTTAAAAATTTTTATTTTTTTAAAATGGAGATGTCTGTAGTGTTAATTCCTCCAAATTAAAATGTCACTGTTGCAGGTGCCATGACAATGAATGTCCCTGTGTGGTGTCTTGGAGTCAATAAACTGGACCCAGTGAGGTCTGAGTGGGGCCAGGCAGAGGGAAGAGTCTGTCCGCTGTCCCCCCAGACCCAGCCACAGCCTACCCCGGGGGCAGCTCTGAGGTTCCACCCACCACAGGTGGGTCTGCCGCCCCCCCGCTCTGCCCTGGCCCGTGGCAGTTCACACATCCTCCCACTTCCCACCGACCATGGGATGCCTTAAAGCAGCCATCCCCAACCTTTTTGGCACCAGGGACCGGTTTCATGGAAGACAGTTTTTCCACAGACCAGGGCTGGGGGGAGGATGATTCAAGCACATTATGTTCACTGTGCAGTCAGACCTCTCTGCTGATGATAATCTGTGTTTGCAGCCGCTCCCCAGCGCTAGCGTCACCGCCTCAGCTCCACCTCAGATCACCAGGCTTGAGATTCTCACAAGGAGCCATGACCTGGATCCCTCCATGCGCAGTTTACAGTAGGGTTTGCGATTCTCTGAGAATCTGATGCCGCCGCTGATCTGACAGGAGGCGGAGCTCAGGCGGTGATGCGAGCGATGGGAGCGGCTGCAAACACAGACGGAGCTTCCCTCACTTGCCCACCGCTCACCTCCTGCTGCGCGGCCTGGTTCCTAACAGGCCGTGGACAGGTACTGGTCCTTGGCCCGGGGGTTGCGGACCACTGTCTTAGAGGACGGGAAGTGTCTCATTTAAAATAAGACCAGAGAAGTGTTTCCAGCTGTGCCATCACGAGGTCAGGGCAGGTACGCACAGCCCTTTGGGAAGGGGCCGTGTGCGCCGTTACGTTGGGTGGAGCACGAGCTGGAGGTCACTTTTCCCCAACCCCTAAATCTGTGTATTTCCCAGCTCTTCCTCCCGTGGGGCCAGCGTGTTGGCAGCGGGAAGACGTGCTGGGGCACATACGGGGCACGTGGTGGGGCGCATATGAGGGATGTGGTGGGGCACATATGGGGCACGTGGTGGGGCGCATATGAGGGATGTGGTGGGGCACATGGGGCCCGTGGTGGGGCACATATGAAGCATGTGGTGGGGCACATATGAAGCACGTGGTGGGGCGCATATGGGGCACGTGGTGGGGCGCATATGGGGCCCGTGGTGGGGCGGGGGCAGTGCCTGGGCGAACAGCGGACTTGGTCTCACTGGGGAGCCCCGTGCGCTGGAGCAGAGCAGAGCCTGGCGGGACCTTGGCAGCTCACATGTGGCACCTGCTGGCCACAAAGGGACCACACAGGTCAGTTTCCCCAGGTAAGGGCTCAGCAGCAAATGCGGGGGGTTCCAGACGCCCGACACTGACAGCGGAGCTGGTGCCATCCCGGCGCTGCTCAGTCGGATCCGTCTCCAGACACTCGGGTGGGGCGGGTGGGGTTGGGCACAGGCAACAGCACAGGTGGTGGGTGAGCACGGCAATCAAGGCTAGTGGGTTCCCGGAGTGTCTCTGGCACTGGTCGCCCTCAAATGCTGACAGACGGTGCCGGGCAAGCCGGAGCTCGATGGCAGTGACTGTGCATCTTCAGGGTGCAGCCAGTTTTGGGGGATCACTCTGGGACAACTCTGGCTTTAACAGGAAACTGAGGCACAGCCCTGAGGGAACAGCAACCCCGGCAGGTGGTCCACGTGCCCAGGTGGGAGTGCACCCCCCACCCCTGGTGCTCCACGGGTCCCTGGTCTCAGGGCTCCCGGGTTCCCACTCCAGAACCACCACGGCCCGGTGTGGGGCGGGGAGGCTGCGCCCCTGGGAAGGTCAATGTGGGTCTCTTTCGGGGCATCTTCGCCCGCTGCATGAGAGGAATTGTTTCCCTGGAGCTCACAGGCAGCACTGTCCCCGGGCGAGGGTCTGCTTGCTCCTGCCCGTGCAGGAGCCGGCAGAGGGTCCATGAACCCCACCCAGGAAGGAATTCAAGGGCAGGGTAACAAGTGAAAGACAAGAATTAAGACATGAAGTGTAGACAGAAGCAGATTTACTGAAAGCAAAGTACACTCTTCAGGACAGAAGCAAAGAGCAGACTGACCCCCAAGGGAGCAGAGCCACCCCAGGGTTAGGGACTGTCCTTTTATGCTGATCCCTAACAGGATGCTGAGCTGGGGGTGGAACGTTCGTGGGTTTTCTGGGACAGGGTGGAGAGTTCCTAGAACCGGGAACCCTTCCCTTGACCTTACAGGTGACTTCCAGAGTTGCCGCGGCAGGTGTAAACAGTTGGGGCTGGTGGGTGTGACTTTCACTACGTTAATGAGGCTAGCTCACCTCAACTGGACACATGCCCCAATTAAAGGAATGCCCCCTTTTACCTTGGATAAAGATGTTATGGCTAAAGTAAAATAGCCAGCAGGTCCCTACTGGTGACATTCATCTTGGCCAAGCACATTCTCTGACGTCTGAGCCCTGCCCCGCCTGCCGGCAGGGTATCTGGCTCCTGCCTCTCCAAGGCTGTCCGTTGAGAGGTGTGTGGGTTCCGGGCAGGGAGGAGGCAGGGCTGAGGCCAAGCTGCTCTCGGGTGCCATCTGGCTGCCGCTCCAGCTTTGGGGGATGGTGCCAGAGCCTGCACTCGGGGCACCCGCTGTCCTCGCTGCACACCTGTGTCCCTCACGGACCCCTGCTGGCCTGGGATGTGTGGTCCCGCAGGGAGGGGAAGGGTGCAGCAAGCAGGGCAGGTCTCTGCACCCGCAGCTGGGCCGGGGCAGAGCGCACCTCGGGGAGTGGCAGTGGAGCCCCGTGGTCCTCGCGCTCCAGGCTGGCTCCATGGGCAAGTGCCACACCTGGCCTGGTCCACTGTGGGCAGCTCGGTTTCCCCTTTCTGCCCCAAGGAGCTGATGTAAGGACCCACGAGCACGTGGGGCCCCTGGCAGGTGGACGTGGGATGGAGGCCTCACCTGTGCTGTCTGCTGGCTTTGCTCAATCTGACCCTGGAGGAATGCGTCCAGGTGACTGCTCAGACCAAGTTATTTCCAAATTTCCCGGCATCCCAGCACCCTGATGGCAGACTCGTGCCAGCGCTGGGTGAGAGGAGGGAGACGGAGGTGGGAACAGAGGCTGTGTCATGGTGGCCTGTCCCACAGAAGCAGGCTCGTCAGAACTCTCAGCCCATTCGCACCCTGGGTTCTGTTCTTGGCCCTGCCCCGGGGCAGCAGGGCCAGCGTGAGGCTGGGCTTGCTGTGCAGCCGCGGATTCTGCAGAGGCGCTTGCAGCTGTGGACGTGGAGGGTGCTCTGTACGACCAGGCCAAGCGCCGGGATGCTGCCACGGTCAGAGGTGCTCTGCTGGTTCCTGCTGCGCATCACGGGAAACCCCTTTCTGGCCCCAGGAGCCCTGTGCTCCGGGGAGGACCCCACAGAGCACACAGCGATGCCCCAAGAGGAACTCGCCTGACAGGCGTGCAGGAGGCTGGTGCTTTTATTGTTCCGGTAGAATCAGGGAACGTCTGCAGTGGCACAGCCATGCCAGGGCTCCAAGACAAGCTCCCTATACCTGGACAGCAGGACCCTCTTGCTGTGGGCTGTGGCCGAGACGTCTCAGGTGTTCAGGCTGAGATCATTCAAATGAAAGTATGAAGTGGCAAGATTTGCAAAGTGCCATCCCCACTGGTCTCCACAGAGCAGAGAAGGCTCGTGCTTTTGTGAGTGCCCTGCAGGGGCCGCGGGGAGGAGTCCACCCATCTCCTCCCTGAACCCCTTCCTGCCGCAGCCAGGGCTGGAGGGCAGAGGGGCTCTTCGTTCCCTTTGTCTTAGGGAAATGTCCCGCTAGGGCAGAGGAGGTGTTCCAGAGGGTGAGGATGTCCCACAGGCCTGGATTCCTGCCCTGGAAGGCAGGAAAAGGGTTAAAATGCCCACACGCAAACCTTGGGCTCTGCAATGGGCATCGTGGGGGCGTGACTGTATCAGGAAGCCCTTGTCACCTTCCTGGGGCCCAAGGGACACCCCCGCTAAGGGCACTCGGTGGAATGGGGGCTGTGAGCAGGGCCAAGCCTGGAAGGTGACGTGGACTTTGGCCTCTGTTCCCACGGGCCCTGCCCCTTCTGGGCCGCCCTGGCTGAAGGGGAATGGCCGGGGAGGCCTAAGGCAGCGTGGCAGTCTGGCGTGTGCTACGGGCTTGGAATTTCTGGGACTTACTGAACTCGTATCTAGCCAGCCACAGAAAACTTAAAATCAGGAGGACACAGAGGTGGGGAGGAGGAGAAGGCCCAGGGCGCGTCCGTCAGGGCGGCCCCGCGTGCGCGCGCTCCCCGGCCGCGCCGCAGTCCGGGCCCTGCGAGCCCTGCGAGCCCTGCGAGCTGTCCTCCGCGGCCGAGGCCGAGGCCGAGCGCGTGCTGTCCTCGCGCAGGGCCGGCTCGGGGCTGGCGGCGCGCCGCTGCTGCTCCTTGAGCTCGGAGTAGGAGCGCGAGAAGGTGTGGAAGATGGAGGTGACGGGGAAGGCCATGAGCAGGATGCCGCTGAGGATGCTGCTGAGCGCCACCACCTGCCCGGGCAGGCTGCGCGGGACCATGTCGCCGTAGCCCACCGTGGTCATGGAGATGACGGCCCACCAGTAGCTGGCGGGCACGCTGGAGAAGTCGCGGCGCGCGCCCAGCTCGCGCTCGGCCAGGTGCACGAGCGGCGCGAACAGGGCCATGGCCACGCACAGGAACAGCAGCAGCAGCCCGAACTCGCGCGCGCAGCGGCGCACGGTCAGGCCGAGCGAGCGCAGCCCCAGCGAGTGGCGCGCCAGGCGCATCACGTAGAGCACGCGCAGCGCGCGCAGCAGCCGCAGCACCAGCCCCGCGCGCTCCAGCAGCTTGCTGCCCCCCGGGCCGCCCGCCGCCAGGCCCACGAGCAGCGACACGTAGAAGGGCAGGATGGCCAGGATGTCGATGATGTTGAGCGGCGTCCGCAGGAAGGCGCACTTGCTCTCGGCCTGCAGCGAGCGCAGCAGGAACTCGAAGGAGAACCAGGCGACGCACACCGTCTCCAGCACGAAGAGGCTGTGGCACTTGCGCGAGCATTCGCCCTGCGGGGAGAAGGCACCGCGGTTGGGGCCAGGCCGGGTGGCAGCCTGCCCTTCCGCCCCCACCCCACCGGGGGAAGCGCGCGACTGCAGGGAAAAGGCCCAATTCCTGTTAAAAAAGTCTTAATTGGAGGCGCACTTATGGCAAGAGCCCAGGAGCTTGGCGGACCCAGGAAACTGGCGAAAATCATTAAAAACCCCAGACCTCGCTCAGCCCCCAGGTTTCCTCTTTGCAAATCTTAAAGCTCAGATGCACCAAACAACCCCCCAGGGCGGGGCGAGCTGTGCGAAGACAAACCAAAGTGCCCCCACCCAGGGCTCACGGTCGGACAGCGAGGACACAACAGCCACACGCCAGACGGCCTGTCGCCACCAAGACGGCACCCACGCGGAGAACATGCTCCCCAGGCCAGCGAGCTGTCAGGCCGGCCGCGCGGCCCCCGGAGGGGATACGGGTTCCGCTTTCTCGGAGCTCTGCCCCCGGCTGAGCCGACACGCTCCTGAGGAAGCGGCAGGGTTATTTCTCCAGAGTTAGGTCCACGTCGTATCAGACAATAGTGACTCCGGGTCGGGCCAGTCTCTCTGGGAAGCGGTTTCTGCAGCGCACGCCCCACCTGTGGGCTCTGGACCCCCGAAGGGCTTCCCAGGTTCACGCGCCCCATGGCCCCAGCTCCAAACCCTCACCGGGTCTCTCAGAGCTGCCCAACACCAGCGTTTGTGGTAAAACAAACGGCACAAGCTCCTCGTTCGGGAAGAGCTAATGGGTGAGCACAACAGTTAATGTCGTCTTCTTAAAAACGTCCCTTCATTTTATGCTTCAGTATTTCAGGCTTAAGTGGAGCCTGAACTCCTCTGAATTCCAGCTTCTCGGGTCTGTTCTCCCACGGGGTGATGCCGATGAGCTTATGCTTGGATGGATTTAGCTCCCTCTGACATGCAGCTTGTATGTCAAAACAGCTCCATCCTATTTGGGGAAACGCTGGGAGCAGCGGAATCAACACGGAGAAATCCCCCGATTCCACTTATTTCCAACGAGCTCTAATATCCTCACGCTCCGCCCGCGCCCGCAGCTGCAGAGTGGGCGGGGACGGCCCGGGGTTTACCGCTCGGCAGCTCGACACCCTCAACCAAGAGCCTGTCCTGGTTGCCGCCAGCGCGAGGCCCTCGTGGGGGTGGGACGCAGGTGGCGGAGCCCACACGCTGCCCCAGGGAAGCTGTCAGGGAGGGGCCGCCTGGCAGGGCTCAGCGAGGCCGGAAGCTTCCGTGGAACCCGTGGCTGAACCTTCCTGGACCTGTCTGGAGGCCGGGTGGGGTTGGGGCGCCTGGGGACAGGCGGCCCCGCAGGACCCCAAACTGACCAGGGCTCCCGGCCACGGTGCTGTCACTGCAGCACCAACCCCGTGGGGGGCGCTGGGCGTGGCCCCGCCGCCCCGTGGGTCCAGGGGAGGCCTGCGCGGCAGGCGGAGCATCTGCTTTCTTCCCAGCAGGTCCCTTCTGAGCAGTTTCCGGCTAGTTCTGAAGACCCACGTCTCCCGCTGGTCACTCAGAGGAACTTCTGAGACGACAGAGTGAGGCCCCCTCCCCCACCCCTGCACTGTGCACACCGGGTCCCAACCCGGAGCCACGGGGGGCTTCAGTACCCCGTTTGCCAAAGAGCAGAAAGAGTCCCCACTTAGCACTTCTGTGCCCAACACTGTGGAAAGCGGTTCCCACGATATTCCCATTTTGAAGAAGCTGCATTTGACTGAGGAGGGAACTGAGGCTGGGAAAGGAGAGAAACAGGTGCTAAGGCCTTGTGGCCGCCAGAGCTGTTGAGACTCCAGCCAGTACCCAACTTGCCTCTGACAGGGACGGGGAAGAGACCCAGGATTATGGAAAAAAGGATCTTGTGGCTTCTATTCTAGGCATTTGAGCACTTTTTTCTTTCAGACTAAAGCAAAAATCTACAACACAATTTTTCCCTGCAAGTCTGTCAGGGAGCAGAGGGGGCAGCCTGCCCAGTGAACTGACCCATGTCCACTGTCTCCTGCCCACGAGTCTCCACGCAGGGTCTCCGCGACTGCAGGCGGCAGTGCCCCCGCCGTGGGTGCTGGGGACGGCCTGGGGCCTCCAACACCAGGCCTGGGCTGCGTGGGGGCTGGGCCCATCCTGCACAGACCAGGAAGGTGCTGGCGCCCTGGGGGCCGGGCCAGGCAGGCACCAAGCACCCGCCACGCGGCGGTCACCTGGCCTTCTCAGCAGCGGGGTAACCACCATCCTCGTCTTACAGGAGGGAGACCCACAGTGAGACCAGCCCCACACGAGGCTCCGATCACCACGCACACCGGATCGTCGGGTCTTTGAAACAGGAAAACAAACCAACAATCCCACCACCTACTTGACAGGGTTGGCGGCTGTCCTGCAGGTCCTGCCCACTCCCCTCGAGTGGCCCCGCAGAGCAGGACCCAGTGTTGGGGGGGGGGCGGGGGCTGCTGGCTGCTGCCCACCCCCCTCAGTAAAGCACAGTGAAGCCCCAGCTGGCCTGTGGCCGCCTGGCGGGTCGGTGCTGCCCGGCCCCTCAGCACCAGTGAGCACAGACGTCCCCATCCCAGAAGCTCGGCCTCGCATGAAGCCACCTGCCCCCCGCTGGGTGGGACTTGGCGACTGGAGCCTCTGGGGATGAGCTGGGCTCACGTGCTGACCTGCTCCTGGCCCGAAACCGCCCTGTCAAGACCCCAGAGGTTGGGGCCCTCCCACATCCCAGGGCGTCCTCCTGCCAGCTCGTTCCGAATGCGAGAACCGGCTCCAGGGAGCAGCGGACTCGTCCCACCACGCCCTGCGTCCTGTCCTCACCCCGAGGGACCCAGAGGACAGGTTTTGACAAATACGAGATGCAATTTTGCTGATGCTACTCGTCACACAGGTGCCAGCCTTGTGGGGGGTGCTGTGAAGAGAACACCCCCCCACCCTCGGACCTGAGGGGGTGGGGCAGCGAGGCCGGGTCAGAGCTCCTGCGACGAAGCGTGTATGTGTCACGCAACTGGGCCATGGGGGGAGCTCCGCTGAAGCCTCACTCCAGGGGGCCCTGTGACAGTATCTGGCCAACGCCGGAATCAGAGCTGAGCGGAGCCGACCACCTCCCCGCCATGGGGCGGCCCCACTGGGCGGCCTGCACGGAGCAGGAGGCCGACCCTGACCCTAACCCTCCCCAGCGAGAGAAGCTCCTCCCGCCTGACCACCCAGCGGGACAGGGGCCGTCTGTGGCCTCCAACTGGACTGAAAACTCTGGATCTCTGGACGGGAACTGCTGGGTCTCCAGCGTGGGGACTGCAGACCTGGGGATCCCAGCCTCGGCCACCACAAGACCCAGCGCCTTAGGACAAATCTCTTCGTGCGCAGAGCCGTCCACCGTTTCTCTGGAGCACCTTGATGGACGCAGCTGAGACAGCAAAGCTTCACTACGAGAGCTGCCAAAACTCCGCGTGTGCAATGAGCGCCCACCACAGGACTGTGCCAGCCTTCGCTGCCACTGCAGAAACATTCTTGCTGAATCCAGCAGCTGAAATTCCTGTCATGAAATCTATAACTTGTTAGACTGGTCTTAATTTAATAATGTGAGTTTAGAGGAAAAAATTGACTCACAGAGCCAAGCATCAGCCTAAACATGAAAGGGAGAGACGGGTTTTGAAACACAGCTTCGAGCCAGCACACGTGGCCCGTCCTGCGCTGCCCCACGCCGCGGGAGCTCGGCCGGTCTCCAGGCAAACTCCAGCCGCCAGCACACGGAGGGAACCTCACAGCCCCTGGCTGGAATGAAAACTCCCGGTCGCCCGTCTCTCCAGACAGTTCCAAGCTGCTCAAAATCGTGCCAAGGCGGCGTCCGCTGGCCCAGAGCCAGCTGGGCTCGCGACCCCAGGACCACTCCGCCATCCCCATCGTCCCCTGGTCCACTCCAGACACACGCTGCTCAGGAGACGCGCTCCCTTCTGGACTGTGCGCCGTGATGAGGGTCCATCGTGGTCGGGGCTCAGGTTCCCGTCTGTATGTCTGCACAGTGCCTTCGTGGTGGGGACCGGCACGTGGGCAGGACGCCAGGTTTCCCCTCATTCTCTCACGCGGTCAGGAGACCTGCGGCCGTCCTCGCTGTCCTCCAGGTCAGGGCACCACAGAGCCCCTCAGAAGCAAGGGAGGGGCCCAACACAGGGAGGAAGAGGCGCTCCTGGCACCCTGAGGGCCGGAGCCGCACCAGGGGAGGGGCTCCATGCCCCCTGCCCGGGCTAGGGCTGGTCTGCTTCCCGGCGTGACCTGTGTTTTTGCTGACGTGCCACCAGAAAATGCGGGACAACTTTCTCAAACACAGTAGCGTCCTCTCCTCCCCCAACTCCACCAGCTCAGTCAACAGAAAACCCACGCCTCCAGCCCAGTGCACACTGTCCTTCCCCGGACATTTCCAGAAGGTTCCACGACTGTGCACAAATGCTGAAAAGCTTTGCCTCCTCGTGGTAACACTGGTTAACCCACAGTTACGTGCAGACCCTCAGGGTGGCAGAGACGGCACAGACAGAGGCAGGAGGCCCACAGCCCAGTGAGACGGCAGCCAGCACCTCCTCAGAGCCACCCTGGGCGCCGTGGCTGGAAGCCTGGCCCTGGTGGAGGTTGGGCCCCTCTGGTCTGGATGACCAAGGCTGGGGTTAAACCACGAAATTCTCCACACCCTTGAGACACTGAGTTTAGCTCCACAATGTCTGAACCCTGGGCTCTGGCTGGCTGAGCCGTTGCAGGGAGAAGGCTGCCCAGAGCTGTGACGTGGAACCGAATGTCATCTGGAGCCTCTGCTGTGGCGGCCACAGCAGGCAGGGCCTGAGGTGTCGGCCTCAGCCGGGCCCCACTGTGCCCTTAACCAGAGGGGGCCAAGGCCGCTGGCACCTGTGGTTTTAACCAGCGCTGGGGGAAGGGGTATGCGCCAGTGTGGCCCACCACTCGGCAGGGAGCCCTCAGCCGAGCCACCCCGCCCCCACAGCCCTGACCCTAACTACCTGCACACCCCTTCCCCCACCCCCCTGTCCGCCCCCTGCCCAGTCCTAGGCCCCTGACCCTGCCACCCCTGACCCTAACTACCTGCACACCCCTGCCCCCACCACCCCTGTACCTCCCCAGCCTCCTGCCCAGTGCTAGGCCTTGGCCCCGAA